AAACCATTTCAGGTGACTACCTCTTGAAGCTCATGGAGAGAATGCCAAGAGTGTGCAAAGCAGTAATCAGAGCAAAGGGTGGCTATTTTGAAGAAACTAGAATATAAAACATGTTTTCAGTTATTTCACCTTTTTTTGTTAAGTACATAACTCCACATGTGTTCATTCATAGTTTTGATGCCTTCAGTGAGAATCTACAATGTAAATAGTCATGAAAATAAAGAAAATGCATTGAATGAGAAGGTGTGTCCAAACTTTTGGCCTGTACTGTACGTGTCATTATAAACTCTGTGACGGACTGCATAAGATGATGATAAATAACTTATAATGGGGTGTAAGTAAGTGTGTGTGTGTGCGTGTGCGTGTGTGTGTGTGTGTGTGCGCGCGCTAATAAATCAGCTCTGCTGATGTCACTTCCTGCAGCAGCCAGCAGGAGGCAGCAGATCACACAGAAAACATGTTCTCTCTGACTTCCTGTTTGAGCAGATCTGCTGCTGGAGTCAGACCTGATCCGAGACACTCTTCGCTGTTAGTACGTGTTTCTGTCCGACACCGAGACACCGAGCAGAACGTGAACATGACCAGTCTGAATCTGTGGCGTTGATAAATGTGTCGGTGCTGGCTGATGAACTTTGACCTCACTGCACAACTTCAGTCGAAAACATTTAACTGTTGGCACCACTCCTCCGTAAACCAGTTTAACCACACTAAAACCATCAGTGATACACACACACACACACACACACACACACCTACACCTCACAGTGTTGAACTGATCTCAGGTCAGAATCAGGATCAGTCGGACAAACAGTCAAAGGTTCGTCTGTGTTTCTGTGATTTCAGAAGTCTGTTTAAAGAAGCTCAGCTGGTGAAATCTGTCACGACACAACATCATTGTGGTGCACAGCCAGATACACACACTGAAGGTCACAGTGTTTAAGATCACTGTGTTTAAGGTCACAGTGTAACAGGAAGTGATTGTGAATCAGTTTCAGCTGCTTTGGTGCAAATCACAGAGACGACAGGAACAATGGAGAGACAAACAGGAAGTGGTTTTACATGTGGTGTCCACAGTGGGCTGCTCTCTGCTGATCCTTCCTGACTGAGTCTTCCCTAGTTTGGTCTTCTGCTAGTGTCCTCGTCTCTAATGGTAACAGGAGACGGTACTCTGAAGCCCGATCAGGTTTCACAGGTGGTCCAGCCCCTTCAGGATGAAGGTTTGCTGTGTCTCCACAGTCTCAGGAGGACAGTGTCCGTCCTCATGTGTCCAGCGTGTGAAGGGTTAGGGTTAGCACCTATGGGATGTTATGTATTGGTGCATCCACCACAGAGTCCAGGAGTTCACTGATGCCCTGATCCAGGTCTGGAGGGAGATCCCCCAGGACACCATCCTCTAACTCATCAGGAGCCCGGATGTTGTCAGGAGGTCATACAGGCAGGCAGGGTTCGAACACACTGCTGAGTCATAATCCAATTCTCATTGGGTCGATGATTTTGGATCCAGTCCTCAGTGGGTCTTTGATTTTGGATCCAGTCCTCACTGGGTCGATGATTTAGAATCCAGTCCTCAGTGGGTCTTTGATTTTGGATCCAGTCCTCAGTGGGTCTTTGATTTTGGATCTGGTCCTCAGTGAGTCGATGATTTTGGATCCAGTCCTCAGTGAGTTGATGATTTTGGATCCAGTCCTCAGTGAGTCGATGATTTTGGATCCAGTCCTCAGTGGGTCGATGATTTTGGATCCAGTCCTCAGTGGGTCTTTGATTTTGGATCCAGTCCTCAGTGGGTCGATGATTTTGGATCCAATCCTCAGTGGGTCTTTGATTTTGGATCTGGTCCTCAGCGGGGAGGTTAGGGTTACTGATGTCATTCATTATTCAGGATCTGATGATATAACTTTTTCCTTCATGTTTCTGAGTAGAGTGTATGACAGATACTTGTTATATTAGCCCCGCCCCTTTCTCACCTCTGGGTCCCTTGCTGGTGGGAGTCTCAGCAGAACTCCTGGTCCAGACCAGCAGGACTCCTCCGGAGTCTCCCGTCAGAATGTCTCCAGTACTCAGGAAAGCCAGACACTGGACAAACTTTGGCTTCTCATATTTCTGAAAACACAAACAAATAACAGAGTAAGAGTTAGACCTGGGACATATTCCAGAAAGCGGGTTTAGTGACAACTCTGAGTGTGTTAACCCTGAAATGAGGGAAACTCTGAGGGCCGAATTCACAAAGAATGAACTGCGGCCGCTGATAGCACCTTGAATTGCACTTCACTTGCACTCGCAGTTTGCTCCGTCTTAACGTCCTATTCACAAAGGATATTGTGCTAATCATATACCAGCACAAACACGCCCACAAAGTTTGGCAGCTGAGTGCAGTTTGCCCCTGATTTGCTCCTGATTGCAATTAGCCACATGGCAAAGTATAAATGCTGGCTTTGCACCAAGAACACCGTGGCAGAACAATGGCAGACTTTGTTTGGCAAAGTACTGAATACTGTGTCCCCTCATGTAGTGATGTCTGCTGGTGAGTCAGTCTAACAGTGTCGGATGGATTGAGGCTGTGGATTTGACCAAGTTTGACCACTTTATAACTATTCCCTCTCACTTGTAGCTGTTTTTTCGTTATCTTTTGAATTTAATATGAATTATGGAACCGTTTTTGTTCACGTTTGTTTCCCCCGTTTCATAAAATAAATTATTGAAAGTTGCTTTTGAAGTGCATGACATAAGTGCGTTTTGAGAACGACCGCAGACTGTTACCTGTTCAACGCATCAGTATCTTCAGATGCCATTAAAGTAATAAAGATTATAATAATGTCAAAATATTATTTACAGACTGATTTAACAGACGATCACTGCTGCCACGATCACTGGAAAGTCTGGGCGAGAGGCTTCCACAGAGGAGCGGCCAGTTTGCACCAGCTTTCTAAAGACGTTATTTACTTCACTCAAACTGCGTGTGGCTATTAGCGCTGGTGTTAGTAAATTAGACGTTGTTTATCAGTGAGGCTCATTTGCATAGAAAGGGGCGATTTTTGCGCCAAATATATGCATATTACCTCATTTAAATACATGCAAATAACACCAGAGCACCGAGACACAATCTGCTTGGCAGCACAGTTAGTGGAGCATTTCACCCTCTGCGCATGCTTTGTGAATTAAACGGTATCTGTTTGCTCCATTTTTACCGGTTTAGCGGCCGCAAAAGCCACGCAATCCTTATGTGAATTCGGCCCTGAGTATGTTTTCAGCTAACCCTAACCCTTTTCAGTTCCAGACAGAGAGGTAAGTCAAACTCTGTGTTCATTCTGTCTCCTCCCTACTGCCGAGCCTGAAGCAAGCTGGCAGACACACATGGGCTGTTCATATGTAGGAAATCTGATCGATATCGAGGCAGAATTAATTCACAATGCTTTATGCTGGGAGAGGATCTTCAGACCCCGTTGAGATGTGCTGTCTTTCCCCAATGAATATCTGTTTGAACCATACCGTTTTTCATCAGACTCAATCATTTACCGGCCACACATATCAAATCTGACACACTGCAGACGTGCGCTCTCATCAGAGCAAATGCTTTTTTGCTAACGGTAGCTTTTATATGACATTGGTGATGATTTGTGGCCTCTGCCTTCTTTCTGTTGGCTGAGTAGAACTCAAATGTTACTCAGCAGGATATTAGGCAAGAGGACACACAAGTTGAAACAGTATTTTTGGGGGGTTTAAATTACTAGTGACCTACAGTACATAATGACATAGCCACTGAATGACAGGTTATTGAAGCTACTTTGTTTAATAAATCAAATATGAATCAAACTAAAGGAAGGTACAGTCATGGCCAAGTCAAATGTGTCTTACCTGTTTGAATGATGTTTTTATATTTCATATGAAGCTGCTTCCAAGTGTGTTTTTCCCCTGTGAGATTGAACCTACATGAAAATCAGATTTTATTCCAAACCACTTTTTCACCTGTAAGCTATGATTTTAATTAAGTGTGGTTAAATGTTAAATTAATGAACTAGTACATTCAAACGTACGCGTTGACTCGGGCAGCAGTTTTCTCCCATGATGCCTCTCTCTCCTTGACAGCTTTAGTGCTGTTACTTTGTTTATAAAATATATGCTCATATTCGCTGTAGGCATTCATGAGCACCTCCAATTCCACAGGTGTAAAATAAGTTGATCGCTTTTTCTCTCCAGTTGCCAAGGCAACTCTAGGTATCAGGGCTCCATTGATGATGGGTTTTTATTGTGGTTGTGCACGTGCTTAACTCAAGGTGTACCTACTCAGAGTTGACTGAACTAATTCAAATCAGCTGTTCTGGAACCGGATACTCAGAGTTTCCCAGCTCAGGGTAAGTCAAGTCAGAGTTCAGCATTAGGACCAGGACTACAGACCAGGGCTACAGAGTTAGATCAGGACTACAGACTTAGACCAGGGGTCTCATGTACAAAGGGTGCGTACGCACAAAAACGTGGCGTACGTCGTTTTCCACGGCAAAGTTCAGATGTATCAAGAGTGAAATGACCATGGAAATGTGCGGTGTCTCACGCCAACTTCATGGCTGGCGTACGCACGTTTTTACAGCTGTTGATACTTTGGCGACACTTAGAAGTGATGCTGAGAAACTGTTATAATAAATGAATGTGAAAACAATCAGTCCTCAGAGTGATGTGCACATCAGAGACACATGATAATTAACACTGATGAACAATTAACACACCCACGTGTCTGCAATTAGATGAGCGGATATAAAAGCATGCGCAAAGTGGAGCAGAAAATACTAGGGATGTAACGATACCAGAAACTCACGATACCATATTATCACGATAAAGAGTCCACGATACGATATATATCACGATATTTATACAAGGGGAAAAAAGGAGAAAATTTATTGTTAAAAACAGCTATTTTATTCAAAAATAGTGCATGTACACTGTACAGCATGTTATTTTTAACTTGGAAGCGTATCATAAACAAATCAACACACAGTTAAACATGTGCTTTCATTTCCCCCCTATTACTGCTAGGCAGGCAGACATTAAAGTGCCATAACAAAGTCATGTCAATTAAAACTACAGTGACAGAATATGAAAATGGAAACATTCAGTATTTTTTAACCTACTCTGAACAAAAGTAGTGTAGTACTATTACTAGAAAGTCATCTGAATGACATCAAATTATGAGGATAGAGTAGTCTTAATATTCATCAAATATACAGAACTTAGAACAATCAGACCCTGCAACAACAACAAAATTAACAAATTAGAAATAATGTAAACTCAATAACACACAATCCCTCACTCACAGATACACAGAGACACAGAAAGAGAGAGAGAGAGAGAGAGGGAGAGGTGGGTAGAGATGTGTGTAAAAGAAAACCAAAATAAATAAAAGTCCAGCCATTTCCCCCGGAAGTCATAGAAAAACTCAAAAACACACGTTCATTCAGTTTGGTTCACGCCAGGTTGACAATCTTGACATCAAGGAGACCCTAACACTTTCTCAGAACAGGAGATGAGAAGAGGAAAGCCCTGGTCCTGCGCTTTCATGTGATATGCTTGGTGTTTCTGTGCGACCCTGCATTCGCGAGTAATCCATCCAAGAGTAATGTGTGTGCAAAGCTGTATGAAAGCTTTGTTATACATTATTTCAGTGTAACTTTATCATTTTTTTCACTATGAAAACATTGGACTGCCGACAAGTGTTTGGTCTTGTCGGAAAGCCACGATTCCGCTGTTTCACATGATATGTGTGGCTTCTCACTATGACGAACGGTCGCGGAGAAAATCCACAGAGAATAACAATCAATCTCCTTACTTTTATTCGCTGTTTCCTCCGGTCACGCACGGGTCAGAGTCAGAGGCTGAGCTGCACGGGTCTGCTCTCACCTGCGCGCACAGTTGCATGCAAAGGATTATGGGGAATGTAGTCACACAGTCATATTGAACCGATACGGTACTGGTACCGGTACCTGGAATTCGGTACCGGTACCAAACGGTACCTTATTTCGGTACTTTTTAACCCTATAGGCCCTAGGAGTTTTTGGGGTATTTTTACTGCCTTTACTTTCAAGCTCATATCACAGTCATTATAAAGGCTACATACACATGCTATATCTTGTTTTTTTTCAGGACAATCTGGGCTAACCAGATTTGCCATCATTACATGTCCTTCTATGTGCCTGTATTTTATATTAATTTCTATATCAATGAGAAAAACTAATCTGTGTCCCAAAATTCTTACATTTTTACATGTATCTCACCATAGCAAGCTGGAAGTTGACGCTGGGTTTCCATCCAAATGTATCGCAAATTTTAAGCGAATTTTGTGAAAATGTGCAAAAGAAAATGCGAATTTATGCACGTTTCCATTCGTTATTGTTTTGCGAGTATTGGGAGTCAACAGGTCGAGCAGAAGGTGGCGCTTCTCATGAAAAATAAAATGCAAAAGAACACCCATAGATGAAGAGGGCGCCGTGAGATGACGTCATTGAGAGCGTCTCATGTCCACAACTGATGTGAACAATTACCAGCACATCCATGACTACGACGAGATGGAGAGATTCCTTGGGAACTTCTTGGCTATTGCGAGAGCTCTCATCACACTCATATCAGCGTTGTCAGCGTAGCCTACATAATGCCGTGATGTCTGTGTTGGTACACCAGGCAGCGCACATGATGCAGTGGTATTTAACACGTCCAGTCTGTTCAGGTAAGCTGTGAAATACACTCACCTGACACTGGAGTAATTACCTCTCTCTAAGTTCACACAGGTGTGTGTGTGAAGTAGAAGTAGGATTCAGTAGCCTACGTCATTGTTTATTCGCCAAATCTGTTTCCATTGCCAAAAGTCACATTTTCCTAATATCAATACGCTGACTTTTCCACCCCCTCCAAGCGTAAAAACTTTTTTGCGATATTTCGCAAATTTCTGGCATTTCCATTCAAGTTTTTTTTCACAATTGTTGAAAATGCGAATAAAAATAGGTGGATGGAAACCCACCTATATTCTGCCATATATGAAGAGAGGAGACTCTCTGGAATCTGGCAATATAAGAACCATGATGCTGGGACATTCTGTCACTTCACAGCTGTCCAAAACATGTGGTTTGTGCCAGGCGGACATGATTGACATTATTTTTCATTATTGCAAGAAATTCCATTGACTCATTCACAAGTCAAAAATGTGTTTTATCTGAAAGAAACATTCAATATTTACATCTAAGATCATTGAAAAAGAGTCAACCAAGTGCAATGATGTCCTCCAAAATAATATTTGTTTTTCAGTTTCAGTTATATATTGGGGGGACATTTTGGGCATTGGTGGGGGGGGGGG